ATACCTTTACTAAGTCCCTCCCTCCTCTCCGGCTCCCATCCTTCCGCAAGGGCCTCACCGCGAGCTCCAGGTCTTGGAGGTCCTTGATCTTTCCGAGAAGTTTGCCCAGGGAGCTGAGCAGGGAGCTTTGCCCTGCGGGGCTCAGCTTCTCTATTACTTGGGTTTCCCTTTGAACCTCTTCTTTTAGTGTCTTGAAGTTTTCATGTTCCTCCCCTGCGGAACAGTCAATGGGGCAAAGGAAGGACCTTCCAGCTGCCGCCTGCCCGCCCGCCCGGTCCAGTCAGCACGCTCCCTGCAGGCCCTTTCAGGTCGCCCGCCCCAGGGGGCTCTGAGCTCTGTTCCCGGTGTGAGCCTGTCCTGCCTTCTTTCTGTCCCAAGTTACCCACCAGCCCTAAGAGAGGTATTGTGGGGAGGGGAAGGGAGAAGGGCTCGGGTGAGGAGATGGGCCAGGATCGATATTATTGTCCAACCTGGGATCTCAGCTCCCACCCGTGTCACTAGACAGCAGCGGATTCCCTGTTCTCTAGGACTGCCCTTGAATCTGGACAGACTCATAGTGACTCTCTAGGACAGACTCAAACCAACCCGGTTGGTTTGCAAGACTGTAAATCTTTACACGAGGAGAAAGCCTCATCGTGCTCCCTTAAAGAGGCTGGTGGTTTTGAACTGCTGACCTTGTGGTTAGCATCCCAATGCCCAACCCACCACCTAAAAGTTGAGAAGGAAGCTTTATTTGCATTCCCGGAGAGTGAGTGGGCCAAGGGGAGCGAGTGAAGACCCACGTGGCACAGCCACAAGGGCAGTGGGCCTGCATCCAGGGGTGTGGGCGCATCTGGGCATGACCTGAACCCCGAGGGGCCTGGAATCCTGAAATAGATCCAGGCTGCTTTGGGGAGAGTGGCTTCCTGGAAGTGGCTCCCCTTCGTAGGACCCGGGACTCAGCACTTGTCTTTCCCTTGCCCCTTCACCCCAATCATTCTCCCATAGCCTTCATGCCCAAACGTTAGAGGAGGGATCACAGAATTCCTTACCAGACTCAGATGCTTGGATAACTGATGGGAACAGAAAACAACAAAAACAAAAGGGATTAAGAACAGTGTCCTAGCCACAACCAGGGGTCAGACGCTAAGGAGGGTCAGGATGAGGGCCTGTCTGCATCTTGCTTCCAACCAGTCATCTTAAAAGTATCCTTGCTCTTTCCTGGGTGGCAAGAGTGGGTCAGGAACACAAGGAATGTGATGACGAGTCGGGAGGCACCTGGGTTGAGTGGACATCCCTGTGAGTCACCAGCAGCTGCCTGGGTTGCTGGGTGACGCCATGGGAGGTGTGTGTAGGTATGTGCAGGTACCAGGGTCAAACGACACAGCCTCTTAAGGACAAAGGTCTAGACATCAGGCTACCGGGGGATCTTAGCCAGACTTTCTCCTCCCATGGCTTCTTCCTAAGCTAGTGGGACTTCTGTCATGTTTCCTGGACACGCTCCCTGCTGGTCCCACGGAGAAGGGAAGAAACAAGGAGTGAGGATTCTGAAATCTGATGTGACAGGAAACACTTACGGACGAACTTCTCTTCTGATTTTCCTGCAGAGAGAGAGAGAGAGAGAG